CTTAAGGTTTGGATTACTTAGGCTTGATCATGTTGCTTAGGGTAGCATAAGCATGCGCTTAGTGGGCTTAATCGTGCGCGTGCACGGTAGCATGCGCTATGCACGATTGCGCGCGCGCTACACGCACGACCATGCACAGCGTGCGTGCATGCATGTGTACCTTGTGTACATTCATGACTTAGCTTTGATTTTGACTTCGAACTTAATTCCGAACATTCTTAACTTTCAATAATTAATCCCGATTAATAAAATCCATTTATAAAATAAACGGTTCAGAAATTAATTATCAACTTGGACTCGGTTAATAATTAACCGAATGGACTTTTTGACTTAATGTCGAACTTATTAACTTAAACGCTGAAAATGAACGGGAATAACAATAGAAAAATATATTTTTATTAACAAGAAACTGGGCTATTACAATCTACTCTCCTTAGAATATTTCCGTCACTGGAAATATCAAACTAAACATATATACAGAATACAAGAAAAGTATATACACATCAAAACTCAATGTCGGGAAAACGAGCTCTAATGTCTGCTTCGCGCTCCCAAGTAGCATCTGACTCTCCGTGGCGATTCCATCTAATGCGTACGAGGGGAATATCTCGTCTCCGGAGCCGCCGATCCTCGCGGTCCAAAATTGCTACTGGATACTCCTCGTACGACAAATCTGGCTGAAGTTGAATATCAGTATACTGAAGAACATGATCTGGATCGCACACGTACTTACGTAAGTACATTAGACAATTCGGGAGGCAGAGCTAGACGATAGGCCACTTCGCCAACTCGTTCTAGAACTTCGAATGGACCGATAAATCGGGAATGTAACTTCCCTTTCTTTCCAAATCGAATGATCCCTCGGAATGGACGAACTCTCAGGAAGGCTCGTTCTCTGACTTCGAACTGGATATCACGTCTGTGCTTGTCGGCCGATGATGTCTGCCGACTCTGTGCTGTTCTAAGTCTTTGTCTGATAAGCTCAACTTGCTCAGCTGTCTCCTCGATCATCTTCGGACCAAGTACTTGACGTTCGCCAACATCGTCCCAATACAGGGGCGAGCGGCATTTATGTCCATAAAGTGCCTCGAAATGAGCCATCTGGATCGACGCCTGATAGCTGTTGTTATAGGCGAACTCAACTAACGATAAAATTGACTCCCACTTAGCACCTCT